CCCTCCTCAAACCCAACCCATTCTCCCAAAACCAAACCCTCAACTCCACCACCCCAATCATCTTTGCCATTTATGGCAGACCAGGACATACATTATTCAAAAATCAACAAAATATTTTAAGGCGACAGACGTACTCCGCCACGTCGCCATACTGACACAAGCAACTTTCAGCAAATATATATTGACTGTTAGAACAAGATCATGAGTGGGTATTTACTAGACTAAGATGAGGCAAGCAGAGAGTAATCTTTTCCACAGCGCATTCACACTAGAATGCTGTTGTATGGTCTCGGATTTTTTTCTTTACACTCTTCGACTAATTGGGCAGAGATTCTAATGACGTAAAACGGCCTCCTTCTCCATGCACTAGCGATTTCAGCCACTTCCGAACGACGCATAACAGAAATTCATAACTACGCAGATGCCAACTGTGCTACGTCACCTCGTAACAAGATTCAGACTGCCCGGATTATCAGTCTGGGTGTTTCGTTTTAGCAGTACTACTGGGATGTTTTTGTACGTCATATGTTCCACTCCTTTCGATCCTATAATTGATTGATTGATAAGAGGAACGAACAAGAAAGAGTGAGGGAAAAAAGAAGGGAAGCATAAAGGGAATCATATCCTACTAATACAGGCAACCTGTTCTAAAAGGATGAAATCATGCAAAAACGCATAATCGTATCGGCAAGCCTGGTGCGTCGTTACTTGGGTTCGATTCTGGCCTGCCTTTCTTTAAGCAGTATATAAATTTATGGCAGTTTTTTTGCCAGCTTTTTGCGAGTTTTCTGAGATATCGTGACGGTAATTACATTGCAGGTGATCCCACGCTATCTGCTGCATCAGAGGCATCGTCTGGAGTATCCGGGACCATAATCGGAATCGTCCTACTGCTTTTTGCAGCAGCTGTGGTTTCAGCAGTCTATCTGGTTCGACGAAAGCGATCTTTACGTGCGCACGACCAACGTATTATCCAGTTCGACACGCTGCAGAACGAGGAGGAATATGGGGTTTAGAAACGTGTTCAACTTTGTACAGTGCATATGTTTGGTCGTTCCATTGGTATATAACCAGAATCCGGAAGAACGAGGTGCCGCATGACAAATTTG